ATCTGCAAGAAGACAACCAAATTCGGAGAGCACCAAGGACCCCACAGTGGTCCTCCTCCTTCTCTTCCTCCTCCTCCCCCTCCACTTTTCCCTTCTTCCTCCTTCCTCCTCCTCCTCCACACAATCCCCACCCCCTTCTACCACTGATGGTACTACCTAGTTAGGTCATGAAACGTCTGTAAGAAGACAACCAAATTCAGAGAGCACCAAGGACCCCACGGTGATCCTCCTCCTTCTCCTCCTCCTCTTCAGAAACCCCCCTCTTCTAGCACTGATGATGTCACCTAGTTGGGTCACGAAAGGTCTGCAAGAAAACCACCAAGCTCAGAGAGCACCAAGGACCCCACAATTCCATCTTGAGCTAGATATTCTATTACCCTGGAAATATATGAAGCTTATCTTATATATATGCAGCTAACCTGGATGCTTTCCTTCACAGATCACCGAGGCAAGAATCTCCATACGAAAACTTCAATCGGAGAATCACCTCCATAAGTCAAAGTCTGTCTCCAGAATCTAGAGTCACACACACTTATTAAAGATCCAGTCTTTGGCTCACTCTTTCTCCTTTTCATCCAAAGAGGATCCCATTCCGCCTGTCGATATCATGTCTGTTTGAGACAAGACCTCTTGTGGTTAAAACCCGCAGTGGCTGAACGTGAGTGGCAATAATAGAATTACTGGTAATTTCTATGGCGGAGAACTTAAAATCAATATAACAACAATAACAATAACAATAATGAGGGTTTCTACGCAAGGCATTTGAATGTTGTAAAGTTCCGAGTTACAGGTAGTCCTCAACTTATAACAGTTCAAGTTACCACGGCACTGAAAGAAGTGACTTATGACCGTTTTTCTCACGGTGAGTTGGCTGCGACACGTCGGCCGTCAATAAGTTGTCCCATTCCAACACCAAGCATGTTATCTGCATTTCCTCCACTTGCTCTTGACAGTGTTGCAAATTACTCTGGTATCATGGTTAACAAGTTGACCTTTGGCCAGGGTGAAACTGGGTGACTTTGGGCCTACTCCTTCTCACTCAGTTTGCAGGGTTAGGGGTTGTTATCACAGGGAAAATCACACACTCCCACCTTGTTGTGTACATCACTCTGACCTCTCGGTGGAAAACAGGGAGACCAATGCAGAAAATAGTAAGTACCTGTGGCGTGTGTGTGTGTGCAGATAACTATCTGACTTCGTCTCTTCATACGTCACCTTTAGTGAAGCGTGCAAACCAGCGTTTGTATTTCTTGCGTCGGATGAGGAGAGTACCTTTCTTCTCCTGTCCTGGCCACTTTTTACAGCATTTTAACAAACTGCACCGCTGTCTGGTTTGGTGGCAGCAGAGCCTCAGATAGAAGGTCCACCCAGAGAGTGGTGAGGACAGTCGGGAAGATCCTAGGAAGCTCGGTTCCCGTGATTGAGGATACTGCTTACAAGCGTTTATATGTGCTTAGAGCTCAAAGCATTGTTAGAGACCCCTCACACCCACTGCACGGTCTGTTCCTGTTGCTCCCCTCTGGGAGGAGGTTTCGAAGTATTTACAGCAGGACTACTAGATTCTGTGACAGCTTTGTTCCCTTATGCCATCCGTCTGGTAAACTCGCAGGATTCTTTTTTTCTCGCCATGTATATGTATACATCCAAACTAGACTGTGCTGTTTCTCTGGGCCATATATGTGTATGTATGTGGGTATATGCATACTTTTTCTGTAGTTTATGTAGTGTATATTGGAGGTGGTTACCCTTTGAGAGCTAAATGCAATGAAATTTCATTTTAATATATGCTGATGAGTGTGCATTTAAAATGACAATAAAATTATTCCATTCCATATTCTATTCTATTCTACTCTATGTTCTACTATTCTATTCTATTTTATTCTATTCTATTCCTATTCCTTTTCTATTATTCTAATCTATTCTGTTGTGTTCTGCTCTGCTCTATTCTGTTGTGTTCTATGTTCTATTTCTATTCTATTCTACTGTACTCTGTTCTACTCTATTATTCCATTCATTCTATGTTCTATTCCTATTCTATTCTATTTCATTCTGTTCTATTCCTATTCCTATTCTATTTTATTCCATATTCTATATTCTATTTTATTCTATTCTATATTCTATTCTGTTCTGCTCTGCTCTATTCTATGTTCTATTCCTATTCTATTCTGTAATTCTATATTCTACATTCTACTCTATTCTATTCTCCATGCCATTCTATATTCTATTCTATTCCATATTTTCTATTCTATTCTACTCTATTCCATTCCGTCTATTCTATTCTATTCTCCATTCCATTCCATTCTATTCTCCATGCCATTCTATATTCTATTCTATTCTATTCTATTCTATTCTATTCTATTCTACATTCTATTCTATTCTATTCTATTCTATTCTACATTCCGTTCCATTCTAATCCATTTTTCTATTCTATATTCTATTCCATTCCATTCTATTCTCCATGCCATTCTATATTCTATTCTATTCTATTCTATTCTATTCTATTCTATTCTATTCCATATTTTCTATCTATTCCATTCCATATTTTCTATTCTATTCTATTCTATACTATTCTATTCTATTCTCCATTCCATTCCATTTTATTCTCCATGCCATTCTATATTCTATTCTATTCTATTCTATTCTATTCTATTCTATTCTATTCTATTCTATTCTACATTCCATTCCATTCTAATCCATATTTTCTATTCTATATTCTATTCTATTCCATTCCATTCTATTCCATTCCGTCTATTCTATTCTATTCTATTCTATTCTATTCTGTTCTGTTCTGTTCTGTTCTATTCTATTCTCCACTCCACTCCATTCTTAATAAATACACACGTTTACAAACACTGGTTTGTAAGTCACAAGTGGCAAAGCACTGACAAAGCAGTTCAAGTTGGCGTTTCTCTATTTATTTCACCTGATCCAGACCAGCCGTGGCCATTTTTAAACACGCTTTCTCTGCAAACCATAACCCCAAATTATCACGCAGACACACGCACAGTCTGCACCCCCACAAATTTGTTCTTTAAATCATTTGCACCTTGCCAAAACAAAGGAAACATTAGAAAAAGATGGGGGGGGGGGTGTGTTTGTTGTGTTTTGTGCCTCTCAAAAAAGAAAACCAGCAATTTCCACCTCAGGCTCGTGAGATCTGTACAAAAGACCCTTTGAAAACATGAAATGTTGTTTTTTCCCCCTTCTATCCGCATTACTTTTTTTTTTATCAACGTACCAAAGTGACGGCGTTTAACGTATCCATCTTGAATCGATCTTCTCCTTCTGAAGGTAACTACGGCAAAGAGCCGTTCGGCTTAATTTGGCAAGGCGAGGAAGAGAAATGCGACTGATTTTGCAATAATTAGCTGAAGGCAATCACTAGCACCGCCACGTAAGCTGCAGATGAATGCTCCTTTGCGAAGTGGAAACTAAAGGTGCAAAAACACAATTACCTTTTCAAAAGGAAACCGCGCTCTCCATTTTACTTGATGAGCTCCAGTAGAAAAGCATTTTAAATTAAAAAAGGGGGGGTTAGGCAAAGAGACCCCCTCAGCCAGCGACGTGCACAGCCCTTGACACAAGAGGGACGAAATGTCGGCACGCAACAATCCCCAAGGCAAAGCAAAGCAGCAGTTCACTTTTGATGCTCTCTTTAACCGGTTGAAGGGCCTAGTGACAAAAGGAGCGTTGTTAAATGGAAAATCACTTGTCAGAGAGTGTGGAGGATCACTTCTAAGGGAGTGTGTTAAGTGTGGCTGGTGGTATCAAAATAAACGGGGTGGATCCAGATGTGTGCAGAGAAGACAAAAATGTATTTGAGTGTTACGGTTTAAACGTGTTCTGGAGCAAAACAAACAAGTGCATTTTCTCCCATGAAATATCAAAATAAAGGGGGGGATCCAGATGTGTGCAGAGAAGACAAAAATTATATTTGAGTGATAAGATTTAAACGTGTTCTGGAGCAAAAGAAACAAGTGTGTTTTGTCCCATGTAGTATCAAAATAAACGGGGTGGATCCAGATGTGTGCAAAGAGGAGAAAAATGTATTTGAGTGTTAAGATTTAAACGTGTTCTGGAGCAAAACAGAAACAAGTGTGTTTTGTCCCACGTAGTATCAAAATAAATGGGGGGATCCAGATGTGTGCAGAGAAGACAAAAATTATATTTGAGTGTTAAGATTTAAACGTGTTCTGGAGCAAAACAGAAACAAGTGTGTTTTGTCCCATGTAGTATCAAAATAAGGGGGGGGGATCCAGATGTGCGCAGAGAAGAGAAAAATGTATTTGAGTGTTAAGATTTAAACGTGTTCTGGAGCAAAACAGAAACAAATGTGTTTTGTCCCACGTAGTATCAAAATAAATGGGGGGATCCAGATGTGTGCAGAGAAGACAAAAATTATATTTGAGTGTTAAGACTTAAATGTGTTCTGGAGCAAAAGAGAAACAGGTGCATTTTGTCCCATGTAGTGTCAAAATAAACGGGGGGATCCAGATGTATGCAGAGAAGAGAAAAAATATATTTGAGTGTTAAGATTTAAACGTGTTCTGGAGCAAAACAGAAACAAGTGTATTTTGTCCCATGGAGCCCCTATTCCCATGACCACTACAAACACCCTACTGTTTTCTTGTAAGAAGCTGCTTACAAAATAAGACCAAAAACGGTGTCTTTTAGTCTGTATCTCTAGATTCGGTCGCCCTAGCTTACTGGAAACGAGAATAATGATGGGTTTAACACAAATTAATTTCGTCAGGTTGCTGGAAGAAACGAAAACGATTCAACGCGATGAAATATTTTAAGAACCCAGCACCGAGAATCCTGTGAAAACTGGTTACTTTTCCCCAAAAGGTATCGTTGCGAGAAATCTATATTGTTCTAAATTAAATTATCTCAAGGGCACTCCCTACAATTAATCCAATTGTTACGTTCTCCACGCTCTTGCGAGTAATGTGGCTCGTCGTATTTCACGACGAGCGAGTCGACAAGAAAACGAGCAATTTATTACGAGCAAGAGGATAACAAAAAAATCAATTGTGCAGAGTGTCTCCCTTCTCCATATCCTTCCACAGAGGTAAATCCAGCGTTGTAGACGGGGCAAAAAAAAACCCCAACAGTCTCGGATTTAATTTGCAGACGGGATCTATTTTGAAAATCCCGAAACGAGGGACGCAGCATTTGCTTCAGGGAGAGATGTAAAACGAACGAAAGAGAGCAGGAAGTCAAGGATGTGATTTTTGACAGTTTTGAGATGGGAAGAGGTCCGCAAATTCCACATTTGGGGGGGAAAAAAAGATAATGACGAAGAAGATGGCACAAGAGCCAAGTTGGAAAAAGGGCGAACAAAAATGCAGTCCAATAAAAAAAAGGGTCAGAAATGGGCACCGCTAAACAGAGCCGATTCCGGACTTTGCCTTGACACCACGCAAGTGACTCTCCTGAACAAACCCCGATGAAATGATCTGGGTTTGGCCTCTTGCGCAGGAAGCCAAGTGCTTCCCAAGCGCTTTCCGAGTACAGCAACAGAAACTCGAACTTTCCCTTCCATCCTTCCTTCCTCCATCCTTCCGTTCGCCTCGGAGGAGCAGCAAAACCCCCGGGAATCACTTATGCAACATTATCGCCGACTGTAAACTGAACGTAATCCATGATTAGTGCAAGAGGCAGAGAGGGGACACCACCACCGCCCCCGGTTGGCTTCTCCTGTTATCGTATCGCGTCCAGGTAACGCACTTCCGCGTACAAAGTGTTGAGGAGGATAGCCAGCAGGTGAGTCCCGTCGTGGAGGCAATGTTGAGAGTCCTTGATGAACTGGGAGGCCTGCAGGATCTGACCTTGATATTCCGCGTATTGCTTGTTGGACGCCAGCGAATCCAAAGCGTTGAGAGCCTACAAGGAAAGACGTGAATCATGTCAAGTGGACAGAATAATAATAATAATAGTACTACTAATAATAGTACCAATAGTCATAGGCGCCTTGGGTGCAATCCCAAAACAACTGGAGCACCCCACTTGGACACCATCATCGGCATTTACACATTCGCCGTTAGTCAATTGCAAAAGGCGGCCTTACTAGGAACTGCTTCCATCCTGCGACGAGATCTGTAATACCATCAAACATCCACATCTGCCTATCCCAGGTCCTTGGGAAGGACTCGATAGGTAGACAAAAAGGCCAAATCCATTCTGAACATCTGGCTGACTGTGCGATGATCCGTAATAATAATAATAGTAATAATAACAATAATAATAATAATAATAGAGTTGGGACCTTGGAGGTCTTCTAGTCCCACATAACAGCAACAGACAGTAAGTGCCGCCTATGCAAAGAAGCTGAAGAAACAGGGGACCACCTGGTAAGCTGCTGCAAGAAGATTGCACAGACTGACTACAAGCAGCGGCATAACAAAGTAGCAACAATGGTGCCTTGGAAGATCTGCAAGAAATATCATTTGCCTGCAAGCAAGAACTGGTGGGATCATAAAATAGAGAAAGTCATAGAAAATGATAAAGTTAAACTGCTCTGGGACTTCAGAATTCAAACAGACAAGCACCTGCAACATAACACCCCGGACTTAACTGTCGATAAGAAAGACAAAAAAGTCTGGATAGTGGACGTGGCAGTGCCTGGAGACAGCAGAATAGACGAGAAAGAACTGGAGAAGATCACAAAATACAAAGACCTACAAATAGAAATAGAAAGACTGTGGCAAAGGCAAGCAAGAGTGGTACCAATAGTCATAGGCGCCTTGGGTGCAATCCCAAAACAACTGGAGCACCACTTGAACACCATCATCGGCATTGACAAATTCGCCACCAGTCAATTGCAAAAGGCGGCCTTACTAGGAACCGCTTCCATCCTGCGACGAGATCTGTGATACCGTCAAACATCCACATCTGCCTATCCCAGGTCCTGGGTAAGGACTCGATAGGTAGACAAAAGGCCAAATCCAGTCTGAACATCTGGCTGGCTGTGCAATGATCAATAATAGTAATAGTAATAGTGATAGTGATAGTGGTAATGGTAATAATAATAATAACAACAACAACAACAACAATAATAAAGTTGGAAGGGACCTTCGAGGTTATCTAGTTCAATCCTTGCTCAGGCAGAAACCGGATACTATTTCAATCAACCAATCAATCAATCAATCAATCAAAATAGAGCTGGAAGGAATCTTGGAGGTCTTCTAGTCCAACCCCCCGACTCGTTAAGAACTTAACAAACTTAACGTTAAGAACTTAACGTTAAGAACTTAACGAACTTAATGAAGCAAGTTCTTACAGCTATGAGTTCTCTTGCAACCCATCATTTCCCACTGACAAGCCATCATTTCCCACTGACAAGCCATCGTTTGCTAACCAGAAAACCAAAAGGCCGTATCGCAGGCTAACTGAACTGCTCAGGGCCAGGCGTTCGATTCTGACCGGTTTCAAGGTTGACCCGGCCTTCCATCCTTCCGAGGTGGGTAAAATGAGGACCCAGATCATTTGTGGGGAGGGGGGTAAGGGGGGCAATAGAGGTAGTCCTTGACTTCTTGGTGATGTCTCGTACCCCTCCCCCTCTGTTGAGAGAGGGCTGTTGAACATCATCTATCTCCAGTGTCACAACACTGTCCTTTCAGCTGTCCCAAGAAGGCTCCACACCCATTTGCACCCCTCAGGTGACCCTGAGGACACAGGTAAGCCTCCAAGCGGCTTACCTGTGTCCTCACCACCAACAGTGGTGGCGAACCTATGGCACGCGTGGCAGAGGTGGTACTCAGAGCCCTCTCTGTGGGCACGCGCGCCGTTGCCCCAGCAGTGTTCGCCAGAGTAGCGAGCACGTGGTGCTTGGAAGCAACAGGGCAGGAAGTGAGCGAGCAAGCAGTGTTGCCCCCCCCCAGGAATGCCCCGGAGATGGTGAGGGACTGGCCCCCGCTGCCCTGGCCCCGGCCACGCTCACCCAGTCTGCCGTGACCACTGCAGCCATGCCCACCCAGTGGGACACGGCCCCCCGCCCCCTGCCCCTGAGGACACCACAATGTTGATGCAGCCCTGGCACTTTGCAATAAATAACTGGGTTTTGGGTTGCGGTTTGGGCACTCGGTCTCTAAAAGGTTCGCCATCACTGCTCTATTCTATTCTATTCTATTCTATTCTATTCTATTCTATTCTATTCTATTCTATTCCCTATTCTATTCTATTCTATTCTATTCTATTCCATTCCATTCCATTCTATTCCATCTACTCTACTCTACTCTACTCTACTCTACTCTACTCTACTCTACTCTACTCTACTCTACTCTACTCCACTCCACTCCACTCCACTCTCCACTCCACTCCACTTTACTCCACTCCACATTTTCTATTCTATTCTATTCTATTCTATTCTATTCTATTCTATTCTATTCTATTCCCTATTCTATTCTATTCTATTCCATTCCATTCCATTCCATTCTATTCCATCTACTCTACTCTACTCTACTCTACTCTACTCTACTCCACTCCACTCCACTCCACTCCACTCCACTCTCCACTCCACTCCACTTTACTCCACTCCACATTTTCTATTCTATTCTATTCTATTCTATTCTATTCTATAAACAACTATGGCAAATATATATACTGTATATATATATATATCCCAACATTTCAGTGAGTCACACCCCATTTTAGGATCTATTTGACATAGTGGTTGAGTGACATTGCAGTTGTATTTGTGTGTGTGTGTGTGCGCGCACACACACACACACACACACATATGTCACATCCCGTTTTATATACAGGTAGCCCTTTACTTACAACAGTTTATTTAGTGATCGTTCAAATGAGAGAGGGCTGTTCAACAGAGGGGGAGAGATATGACATTATCTATCTCCAGTCTACAACACCGTCCTTTCAGCAGTTCCAAAAAGGCTCCACCCCCATTTGCACCACTCAGGTGACCCCAAGGGGACAGGTCAACCTCCAAATGACCTCAACAACGCTCTAAAAGGAGGCAAATGACCAGCTGTCTGCAAGGAGTATAAATCCTTCCGTTCCCCACCATTGAGTCAGAACTGAAGAAGCCTCTTGGACGAGAGGCGAAAGTCCAGTTGCTTGTTTTGAAAAAGCAACTTTGCTCCAACCCATCACCTGGAGAACGGGGGAAATCTCCGTAGACACTCAGCCTCACCAGTTTCTTACACAGAGTTTCCTACAAGGGGGGAGGCCGCGTCAGAGCAACCACTTAGAAGCCACCAAGACTCCCACGGACCTGTTGAGCTTTGGAAGACGACTGCAATTCCAGCCCCGATCGCAGGCGAATTTGATTCTCCAGAGGAAGCTGCACCAGGAGGAAGGCGGACATGCTCCGGGCGAGGACACGGAACCTGCCAAGAGAAAAACCGGAGAGGAGGAGAGTTGAGTCAAGTCCCTGGGGACAGGCTCCACACCTGCTCTGTTCTCACGCCCACGCAAACGACACGTCTTCCTCGCAATTTCTCCCCAAACACCGCTGTGTAATTAAACTCAACTTTGTGGCCGCGTGACGTGACCTCAACAACTATCTGACTCAGCTAGGAAATCAATAATCGCTAAAGGTGCATTTTTTCAGGAGGTAACTGGACTTTTTCTTTGAAGACCTTTCACTTCTCATCCAGGAAGCTTCTTCAGCTCTGACTGGATAGTGGGGAGTGGAAGGATTTATACTCCTTGCAGACAGCTGGTCATTTGCCTTCTTTTAGACGGTTGTTGAGGCCACTTGGAGGTTTAACTGTGTCCTGAGTGTCCACGCCCATTTGCACCGCTCAGGTGATTCTGAGGACACAATTTAAACCTGGATGACTTGAGAACCTCCACAGACAAACTCAAGAGCAGGGGTCTTCAAACGTGGCCCTTTTGTGACTGGCGGACTTCAACTCCCAGAATTCCTCAGTCAGCCATTTTGATGAAACTGCAGGCTTGGATCCAGACCAGGGGTCTTTAAACGTGGCCCTTTTGTGACTGGCGGACTTCAACTCCCAGAATTCCTCAGTCGGCCATTTTGATGAAATTGCGGGCTTGGATCCAAACCAAGCGTCTTCAAACTTGGCCCTTTTATGACTGATGGACTTCAACTCCCAGAATTCCTCAGCCAGCATGCCTGGCTGAGGAATTCTGGGAGTTGAAGTCCGCCAGTCATCAAAGGGCCAACTTTGAAGACCCCTGCTCTAACCAAGAATGTCCTACCACCTGGATTGAAGAAGGATTGTCTATGCTCAGGTAGAAGGATCCTGTTTTCAGATTCAAAATATCTCAGGCAAGCCCAGGTGTTTCAACCTTACTTCAAAACTTAAATCAGCAAGATCTTCCAAGGAAGAAAAGCAGCGTATCCGAAAGGAGGATCAACTATAGCCCTTGTCCAATTCCTCATTTTTTAAGTGAGAAGAACTTTTCAATGAGGTTGCCCTGAAGCCTATGAACTTTCAGAGGCAACTTGAAGTAGATGCGTAAGTCAAAGGTTTTCTATCTAACTCAAGAGCGTCCAACCTTGGTAACTTTTAAGTCTTGTGGACTTCAACTCCCAGAATTCCCCAGTTGACCATAACGGCTGAGGAATTCTGGGAGTTGAAGTCCACAAGACTTAAAGTTGCCAAGGTTACACTCCTGATCTAATTTATCAAGATCCTGGACCATTTCAACCTTTTGAAATGTACTTGGCGGAGGAATTCTGGGAGTTGAAGTCCACCAGTCATCAAAGGGCCAAGTTTGAAGACCCCTGGTCTGGATCCAAGGCTGTAGTTTCCTCAAAATGGCCAACTGAGGAATTCTGGGAGCTGAAGTCCACCAGTCATCAAAGGGCCAAGTTTGAAGACCCTTGGTCTGGATCTAAGCCCCAGTTTCATCAAAATGGCCGACTGAGGAATTCTGGGAGTTGAAGTCCACCAGTCATCAAAGGGCCAAGTTTGAAAACCCCTGGTCTGGATCCAAGCTCTCAGTTTCATCAAAATGGCCAACTGAGGAATTCTGGGAGCTGAAGTCCACCAGTCATCAAAGGGCCAAGTTGGAAGACCCCTGAGTTAGACGCTCAGATGACCAGGAAACCTCAGGGGAACATTCAACCCCACCCGGGAGGTCCACCTTCTCTCCTTCTTCTTACCTGTTTGATAAAGGAGATCTCCTGCCCAGCCCAATAGCACCGAGGAGTCCAGAGGTGAGTCTCTCTTCAGCCAGCAGGCTCTGCCGGCCTTGCAGAGAGGTCAAGACCCGGATGACCGATTCCATCAAGATGGCATCTTCCTGTTCAGCTTGAAGCAGGCAGAGCTGCAGGATTTTGTGCCACCAGAGGAAGAGTTTAGCTTCGTCCTGGGCAGAGCTAGGCAGAGAGGCAACCCAGAAAGACACGGTGGGGTTAGAAAGCCCACCCGTCTCGCCGGTATCAGCTCTATGGCCAGGAGGACTTGGCTCTCTGAGCAAAATCCAAGGAATGGGTGGGCTAGAAACTTAAATTATTTTGCCCCCTTCCTTTTGGAAGTTGGAAGGGACAGGTCTGGCAGTTAGAACGCATCAGTCTGTGAACCCGTTCTAGTCCCGCCTTAGGCATGAAACCCATGACTTTGGACCAATCACCAGGAGACGGTGAGTTCTAGACCCGCCTTAGGCATGAAAGCGAACTGGGTGACGTTGGGCCAATCACCAGGAGACGGAGAGTTCTAGTCCCGCCTTAGGCATGAAAGCCAACTGGGTGACGTTGGGCCAATCACCAGGAGACGGAGAGTTCTAGTCCCGCCTTAGGCATGAAAGCCAACTGGGTGAATTTGGGCCAATCACCAGGAGACGGAGAGTTCTAGTCCCGCCTTAGGCATGAAAGCCA